TGCCTGACAAAGGAGACTCGATTATACCACTGAGGCAAGACAGATTTTTCAGCCTTCTTAGTCTCAGCTCTATGCCCCTCCTATATTCTACCCCATATTTTCCCTTCATATTTTCTCATTTCCCAAGTTAATAAAATTAAACTTGCATCTGGACTGTAAGTTGATATGCCAAAACATGTTTCAGACCTCCAAAGCACCAAATTTTAACATAGCAAATTCTCTCAACATATTACTTAATGTTCCAAAGAGGAATAAATGAATGCTTTCTTATTTAATGACTGAGGATCGTCTGGAAAATCTGGATGAGGCCCTTTGCTCTCCTATCTCATTCTTCCAAAACTCCTTCTCATATTTTAATTCCCCATCATTGAACTGATTGACTTCTTTTTCATCCATGGTTTAGATATGTTCTAATCTCACGTCAGCAAATTCATTTTCACCTAGACTAAGCACATTAGCAAGTTCAATAAAATTAACCTCATCTCACATTTATGATATTCTAGTCTGTTGTGCATATTAAAACACTATGCATTTTTATTAATAGAAAACCTGAACCATGCACTGAGAAAAATAAAGATCAGGCTCGCTCTGAAATTGGCTCCTGTTCCATTGCTTCTTATTTTGAATTATATTTCAATAATCAAGAAACAAGTGTACTTACATAGTATTTTCCAAAAATCAAAACAGTACTTACATAATCTCTGAATTTATTTTTCTGATAGTCTATATACTAATTTGAACATCAAAGTCTGTTTTTCAGAAAATATGAAATAACATTGGTCTGAAACTCTTAAAAATTGTGTAGAATTTACCCAGCCCACTTTCGGATATGCGCCGATTTCCTTTCAATCCCAGTTCTATTCCACATAGCTAAATTGGTGGTTTTCTTATGTATTCAAATCTAGAGGTTTTCCCATGTTTTTGTTGCAGAGTGCTAAGAGGGAAAAAAAGTATGTAAAGAGCTTTATGATTTATAGCACAATGTAAAATGTAAGGTATTATTGCATTGTCTAAATTTTTTGGAGTCATTTATCCCTTTCCTAATAGAAATATGGTTTCTTTTTCCAGAAAAATGTCTATATACATAAGGTATTGCATGAAATTTTAGGGGATCCAGTGATCCTCCTGGAGACTTCCTAAAGTCCAGACTCCCATGTTAAACAACTTTAGTCTGGAAGAAATGGTACTTCACATTTACAAGGTCTGTTTATAGCCTGCCAATGAAAGATTTAAAGTTGCATTACATATGTCAAAGCTATGTTCTCAAGCTTTTTTGAGATTTATAGAACATCTGTGTGGATTGTAAGCTGCAGGCCACTGGATGCTGTAATGTCTCCAAATATAGAAAATAATTTAAAAATAAAGTAGTATTATTTTAATTATAATTCAAGGTAGTAATTTAACAGAGCCTGCTTGAATAATGGGGCAATAATGCATCATGGAGTTGCAAATTGGTTAATTTATCTAGTGATTGTCTCAGTGTGGAGACAGTTAGGCCCAACGAAATAGTTCTTGAAATATGGTTTAGTAGGTGCAAGTTGCTTACTTGACAAATATTTATGGAGCTCCTACTCTGGACAAGAAATTGTGTTACACAATGAACCATCTATTAAAAGCTTGTAAAAAAAACTTACACTTTGAAGTATGAAAATTTATATTGGGAATATGAAAACAAGTAAAGAAGCAATAATGATACTGGAAGATAGGTATTAGGATAGGGGCAAGTAAAGGTAGCTTAAGAGACTACAAAGTCCATCTGGAAAGGCGAATGAAGGGTTTTGAGATAAAATAATGAATAGGTCAGTCCTAAAGGATGAATAGAAATAAGCCCATTACCCTTAAATGTGCTTTAAAAGTCAGCATCCTATAAGCCTTGTTACAAAAAACTGCAGCCCTCCTCCATTTCTTACTCCTGTCCAGTTTCCAACGACATATGCAGATTCTTTATGTATTTCCCTATTTAACTCAAAATAACATGCTTAATTTGCTATATTTCCAGTTCTTGCATTTAGGCATTCTGTTTTGATATCCCACTATGGTTGATGAGGATTTTGCTTCAATTACACCATCCCACTCCTTGCTGCTGGCCCCAGGACAATCATATGCACGCGAGTGGATGTGCGCAGCACACATCCCCCTCCCCGTGCCACACCTTATCTTCCTAATATATCAGTGCTTATACTGTATTTATACTATGCAAATGCAGTATTACTAAAATATAATGGCCTGACCATACTACACATATTGTATATTCTGATTTGTTTGTATAGTTTTTTCTGTATTTACTATTAATTCAACCCTAAATTCTACCCCAGATATATGAGATTCATCTGCAGGTGTTAACATGTCAGTTATTCTATCAATTTTCATATTCTTGAAGAACTTTGAGCCTTCTGACCTACTCTAATTTGGACTGGTGGCTCTGTAGGCCTGTGGTCAAGCTGTTAAGTTGGGACCTCCTTTAATTACCAACTTGAGATTCCCTCTCCTTCTTTACTTAATTTCCTTTTTCCTATTTCTAATCTCAGGATCGACTGAATAAAATAACATCGAGGGTATAATTTTGTAAGATAAGCCATTCTTCTGATTTTCTTTTACAGCTTTATTTCCCTAGGATGTATTTTCCAATGGCTGTCTTAGAAAGGGCAGAGAGGATGCAAGATTTTGAGATTTTGGATATAGAATTTGATCTTAGAAATCTTTTCCTCAGAATTTTCAAATCATTGATATCTTGTCTTGCTTCCAGTATAGCCATTCAAAAGTTTGAAGCTGTCCTATTCTTGACCCTTTGTGGGGTTTTTTGTTTTGTTTTTTTGCCTGTAAGTCTGTAAGATCCTCTTTTTGTGTCTAAAGTTTTGATTTTTAAAAACAATGTGTCTTGGCATGTCCCTAATATCACATTTTAAATTACGAGGGCTCTTTTTAATACTTTAAAAAAAATGTATTATTTTTGTTTTCAGGGATACAATATACATCTCTTTTTGGTAAGAATATTACGTACAGTTTGATTCTTTCCCCTAACTTTTCTTCTAGTTAAGTTTTTCTCTACATTGCTGTTTTGTGCTTATTTTAGTTGCTATCTTTAATACAATTGACTGTTGACTGTCAGTTAGCAGGACACTGATGAGAAACTCTTTACCCAGAGATGAGTTGTGTCCATAAGCTTTACTGTAGACCAATGATTCTCAACTTTTGCTTATAGGAGAATCACCTGGGAAAAATTTTAAACCATAGGTACTCAGGTTTTATACCTGACCAATTGAATCAGATTGAGTAATGAAATATTTTAAAACTTCTTCAGTGATTTTGATGCAGTATGGGTTAAGAATCACTGCTGAGGAGTGACTTAGCTGGACCCAGTTGGAACTCCCAATTGAAATCTTCCTGTTTTCTAATGAGTTCGTCAAATTCCCAAGAGAAAACTAAAGGGTAGAAGTTTGGTTGCCACAGTTCTGGGAACTGAATATATGATAGAGGCTAGTTTGGAGCTCACTATTCAGCTTATAAAGTCTCTTTTCAGTATGGTATAAGCATACCCATTATCTTTTTTTAAGAATTTCTGTTCTGTTCTCTCTGGAGAATAAACTTCCAACTTTTGACATTTTAGGAAAGGGACACCTGCCAAGCTGTGTGAGTACTGCTTGTTAATATCAATTGTATTTAAAAAAACAAACAATGTCTTGACACCCCTTCCTCCAATTTCAGAGATATCTGTTGACTCCAATTACTGTCTTCTGGATTCTGTGATAGAAATGGAGTTGCTTGTTGGCTTCTTCACTAATATGTCTGATGTTGCATTTCTTAGAGCCTCTCCATGTGGCTTTGGCTTTTCCAGCATGCTATCAGGGTAATCACACATTTTATAGGGCATCTAGCATTCTAAGAGATACTGTTCCAAAGAGGAAGTAAAAGCTGCCAAGCCAAGTAGCGGCTAAGTTTGGAGCTGGCTGCATCACTGTATTCTGTTGGTCAAAGCATTCACATAGCCCACCAGATTAAAAACAGGTAGAGAAATAAATTTCACCTCTTGATAAGAAAGTGGTAGGGTCACACTATAAAAACAGAGTGAGATATATACTATAGCCATATTTGGACTTACTTCCTTTTTATTTATATAGGATAGAAAGCAGAAAATATTTTGGAGTGGGGATAGCTTACCACAAAAAAATATCAATTCATAGATGGCATAGCAGATAACTAGTAAACTGTAGTGTCCACTGGAGACATGGAATATTTTAACGATTATGTAAAAATATGTCTTTCTCTAAACATTCTAAGGTATCAAGGACCCATTCTGTTAAGAAGGTTCTTGATTTTAAGTGACAAGAATCAAGTAGGCCAATTCAAAATGTTCAGCCAAACATGTATTGAGCGAATATTACATTGTCAAAGATAAGTGATTAATGAAAACTCGGCTTTATAAAGCTTGCAATCTGGTCAAAGAAACAGTCATAGATACGACATAAAAAAGTATAAGATAAATGCTCTTACAGTGTTAGAAAACAAAGCTGTGTAGGAGCAAAGAGAATACAATTTTGACTGGAGGAAAAAAAAAAAAAGATGAAATTCAATCAAAGTTGCAAATTTTGACTGGCTGAATTTTGGGAATAAAATAGTAAGCATGAAGAAAGTCACCTCTATGACATGTTTGGCAAAAGCTAAATAAGTAGTGTGGCTAGAACACATGATAAAGCCAATCACAGAGGATCATATATAGTAACAAGTTCGGTTTTATTCTGTAGGTATTCAAGAGTAATTTCATATCTCTGAGCTGGGAAAGTTAAGTAGTAGGTGAATGCTATGGTTAAATCTATAGTTGAAGTAAAAAGCTGACAGAATCCACAACGATATGGAAGCAAGGGATCGAAAATATAAGCAAGATTAGCTAAGAGATTGCAGTAATAATCCAAATAAGAAACAAAATTCATCAGAATCCCCAAATATATTTAGAAGTTAATAGGTTGGAAACATCCTGAACTGAATATAGGCAGGCCAAGAAAATATCTTAAATACATATAATTTATTACATTTAAAGAAATACAACCAGTTTAAATTATTCCTGAGTAAACTACAATTTCAAACAAATAGAAAAAAACTACAATATACATAGTTAAAAGCAGAGTTAAACATTATTTTATAATGACTTATCAAGATTACTTTCATCTATACTATTTTTACTAAAGTATTATAAAATGAAATATAATACTAAATAATAACATTAATTCTACCAATTATCTGCACACAACTTATGCAAAAACAAAGTTTTTTTCTCCCATGGTCTCCATAAGGACATTTCTAAATTAATTCTTTGTATTTAGCTGACACATATTTATATAATACCAAGTAATTTTATGAGCTTGAAAAAACTAAAATAGGGCCAAAAACAATCACCATCATTTTACAAAACAATTGGCATACTCTCTGCTGTGCAGTCAACTAATATTTATTGAGCACCTCTTATTTTCCAGGACCAAAAATATATTACCTCACAGAATTCTCAAAGTCCTCCTCAACAGTATTTTTTATTTAAAAAGATGAAAAAAAACCCTAGGAGTCAGTCTGATCAGAACTTGCTCAATACCACCATCAGTAACATCTTATATGAACTGACAATTTTAGATCTTTTTTCCCCACGTTTTTATTGTTCCCAGTAAGTCTTTGCTTTCACATTTTTAAAAACTCATACGGATATAAGCAGTATTTTTATTTATATCACCATTTCTTTCCTACTTGCCTAAGAACATCACCACATATCTATAATTTCTTATGTATTTTAATAAAATATACATAAGTGGGCATGTATAATATTAAGTGCTACTCTATCATTCTGGAATTGTAAAATGACAAAAGGACACATTTTAAAAAGCTACACATTAAACAGATGAAAGGCATGATTTCTAAAATAAAGTAATTTTATATAGATTTTTAAAAATTAACCTCATTAAAACTTTTGGTTTATAAATTATAACCTTAAGATTAAGTGACTCTGTATTACGATGGTCAGCTACACATAAGGTACTGTAATACACGTTTTTGTTTTTTTTTTAGTTTAAGGGAGTTACTTCTCCTATGAACTGGCTACAGGATGGCTATTTTAGTTCAACTGGAATAAAATTATAAAAGGAATACTTTCCTTTATTATTATGGATTACTATATAGTCAAAAAGCCACACACCACAGAATTTAATTTTGAGGATAATTCCATAGTTAATAACATCAAATACCAGCCAGTATTTTAGTATGACGTAAGTATGTATTACTTTATAGAAAAGTTGTTCTAGTAGAAGTACTTGAATAGTAAGGAAAGGAACTATAAACAGACTAGATTTAGGAAGTGTCCTTATTTTACAGATTACAGACTGAGGCTCAATTGTAACTTGCCCAATCCGTATGCTAATGGCAGAACCAGAACTGAAACTAGAGTCTGATTTCTCTTCTGGATTCCTTTCACCATATCTGAGACGTTCTCATTTTATGAATCATTATCATGTTATTTACTCACTCTATCTTAACTTTAACTTGGAAGATTACCAAGTAGAGAAACTTTTTCTCTACAGCCCAACAAATCTCTAGTTTTTCTCAAAAATGAACATTATAAGAACAGGATGTAGTTCAGAACATTAGAACACTTAGCTTCATTAAGATGAGGAAAAAAATACAGGAAAAAGTTCACTTTACATATAATTTGGTTTGGCTGCAAAAAGCTTATACAAAAGTCATAGCTTTAAAACCTCTTAACACTCTATATCATGGTAACTTCGTATGTTGTGAAATGGTTTTCTATAATCTTGACATTTTCTTCAGATAGCCAGTTTTCTTGTTTTAGCTGCCGTATAAGAGCTTCCAAAGACTTCAATCTTCCAAGAGTTTGTTGTTCTTGTAGCTCAAGAAGAGTTATCTTTGAATGTAGTTTAGAGACTTTCTGCCAGAGATGTTCCTTATTTAGATCTTGTCTGCAGTAAGAATGTTCAATTTGTAAAACTTCTGTCTCATAGTCTACATCCTTATATAAGGAGTCTTCAACGTCTAGATCTTCCATTTCCACAGTTTCTTTTTGAGCAGGTACAAAAGAATTAATTGTAGGTTTGGAATTTTCTGTGGGTACAAAAATGGCAATAACAGATTCTTTATTTGTATTTAATTCTTCAACTGTTTGAGTAATTGTGCTGAGTAAGAATGGACTTTCCTGTGCTGACTTAATTTCCATGGAATTATTTGTAAAGTTTGGATTAGCAAGATGATTTGTCGTTATTTCAAGCACTTCTTGGGTTTCCAAAGATGGCTGAATATCTTCTGAATTTGAAGTTGTCAAAGTAATAGTTGTAGAATTGAGATTCTCAAAAGATGTGTGAAAACCACCTATACCTATGTCTTGGGTAACTGATGTTTCCAAGGTAGATGCCGGTTTTCCAATATCTTGTTTAATCAGATTAAGAGTTAATACGTTATTCTGTATACCTTCTGTTTTTGCAGCTGGTGGCTTCCCCAATGTAGGTGAATTAAGTAATCCTGTGTGTTCAGGGAGAATATCTGGATTAACTGTATTTTTCTTTAGCTCATTCGATGCAAATGATTCTTGTGACTCGGCTTTTAAGCATACTTCTTTCTCATCATCTAATTTTTTCTTCTGAGATTTTTTTTTAGAAGGGTCTTTTTCCTAGAAAATAATATTTTCAAATTCTAAAGATGTCCTCACTAACCTTATTCTCTTGTTACTCAGTGCTGAATATTTAATTATAAATTGGCCAAGTGAATTTATGCAATTAAAAAAATGTTCTAAGCATGTAACAACTCAAATATACTTCAAAATGTTTTTTAAAAAGTATTAAGCATATTTAATATATGATGGAAATATTTCAGATCATTCAAAGAATAACAAAATCTTAGATCAGTATCTTATGTTAATAACTTAATGATTTATTCATGTGTTATCTTTGGTTCTTAAGGTACACTTCACAATGGTTTAATTTTTTTTTAAATTATCATACTTTTAGTAAAAGCATAAATTAGTCTTCCTTTTTCTCAAATATCTGTTTCCGCAGTAGTTATCTTTCCCTCTCCCTCCCTTAACCTCATTACCAACCTACCCCCTCTCCCATATGTTCTGTCTCCAATACCTGATTGTCTTCAGGCAAAGAAAATACTGTTGGAATTCAGCTTGTTTCAAATATCGAATACCCCATCTGATGTCAAGAGAGTCAGGAGTAAAATGGTCAATACACAGGAACTGGTATTTACTGGGAACCCATGAATCTCGTTTCATATTCTTTAACCATTTTTCAAGTCTCTCTTTGTCATGTAGAGGAAACCTGAAATTAAAAAAGGAAAACTTTGCTATATTTTTACAATTTTGCCAAGTTCCAGGACCGAATACATAGGTAACCTATGCACTGAGTGCTGCAAAAGCAAGGCAACCATTTCTACCATATAAGAGCATCTTAGTGACAATAACTACATCACCTCTCTAGGAAAGATGAGTAAGCTGTAAGCTGTGTAGCCAAAGCTTTTGAGAAGAATGGCTGGTTAAACAACTCAGAGTCTCTTCAAGTAAAATATGTGCGTTCCAACAAAGAATAAAATCTAGTCATATTTTCTGTGTATTGTATTTTTATTTTGTTGTTTATTTTGCCTAGAACTAGGAAAGAGCTCTGCATAAACTACAAAGTCTTATTCAAATGTATTCTATATCTATACTAATAAGTCAAATGGTGTCTTCTCTATATTTCAAGAAGTATTAAACTTTAAGCCCTTATTGATATTAACGTTTTTAAAAAGTTAGTTCAAATAAGTGATTTCGTTGACAACGAATACTAAATTCTATAAAATTACTAATATTCCATTCTCTTTACCAGAATCAACTTTAAATCTATCCTAGTCTAATATTTCTAAATTTATATGACTAATTAACTGAGAACCCTAAATTTCAAGTTGTGAAAGAAAACTGACCCAAAGAACTAAACATGTCATAAAGAACAGATTCATATTTTATAACATGAAATTGAAATCAAAGAGAAAAGACAGAGAAAGGTAAGACAGTTCCTTATGTGTTGTTCCTGGGCTGACAATAACCCCCTATTTAGAGTTGGTGCTAACATACTCTACACGTGTGTTATAGGCAAAAAGTAAGCTAATGACAGAATCTGAGAGAAAACTTTTTCCAACCAATCCAAATAGGTTTCAGTTAAACTGTACTAAACAAGAGTTAACAGTAATTTATATTTCAATAATTTTATGAGAAGTCTAATTTCCTATTTTTTTAAAATAATGACATAAGGTTTCTTATATAGATATCAATTATATGGGACGCCTGAATGGCTCAGTCGGTTAAGCATCCGACTCCAGCTCAGGTCACAATCTCACGATTTGCGGGTTCGAGCCCTGTGTCGGGCTCTGTGCTGACAGCTCAGAGCCTGGAGCCTGCTTCAGATTCTATGTCTCTCTCTCTCTCTCTGCCCCTCCCCTGCTCTTGCTCTCTGTCTCAAAAAGAAATAAACATTAAAAAAGAAAATAGGTAAAAAAAAAAAAAAAGTCAATTACACATTCCATCTCAATCTCAACCATTTAGTTTATGCTTTATAATAGCATGTCTGCCCCGCACCCCTGCAAAATTGATAACTTTATAAGATGCTAAGGAAACGGAGTCTGGATACTTTGTAGGAAATAATTTTTAACCCAGATATCCTTACATGGAATAATCAGATGATCTACCTTTGTAAGTTCTTACCATAACAATATTCATACATGGTTTGAGAAATTTTTAACCTTGCACATATCAGTAAATTAGGTTGTAAGTATAATATATATAACCAGAAAGGCATTTCAAGGCAAAAATAATTTTCTTTTCAGAAGATCTAAATTCTGTTAGCCATAGGTAACTTTGTACTTCTGCTTCATCTAAAAAGAGACTATGCCTTTTTCAACACTTTTAAGTGTCACTGTATGTATAAAGCAGGCTGTTTACAGATTATTTATATGGTATCTATACTAAGTTATGAAACTAAAAAAAAAAAAAATCACTTTGTGTATTTTCTCATTGGTAACTGGACTGCAATGCTTTCTTTCTCATCAAATAAATCTCTAAGAAATCTGGTATAGGTTTCCTGAACAACGTAGTATATTTACAGTGTGGTTCAATTTGTTCAGTAATTTTTACTATCTTATTAATTACCCCAAAAAGGCATAATCACAGCATAAACTGAGCATTATATACATACATAAGCTGCATTATCAAATGAGTATACAGTAGAGCTTACTACAGTGTTAGCATTAACAAATTCAATTCTTTAGGTTTGGTGCTATTAGGAGACTAAAACTAATTCAACTTTTATTTTGCAGACTCCATATGGAAATTAAAAAAACATAAAAAATCCACTTTTGGTACATTCTATTTTGAGGAAAAAAATCTTTATAATTACCTCCTCGGGCATTATTATTTTTCCCTCCTTAAAAACAGTAACTATGGAAAGATGAAAAGAATTTGGAGTCTGGCATTATTCCCCTCAAATCCAAAACCAAATAAATCTGGGAAATATGAGGCTAAGCCAAGTTTAACATGATTTTTTGCTACAAACCTTCTCAGAGCCAGAGCTATTGATAACTAACCTCCCCCTTGCCCCCCAAATCACTCTGCATCTTGTGGGCTTCAGGTGGGAAACAATCCTGGAAATACTGCCATATGTAGTTATTTTGCTATTAGTTTTTTCCCATTAGTTAAGATAATGGAAAGCAACTGTATCCACGAACAGAGAGTTTCTGGTTTAAAGTAAAAGAGGCTTCAAAAAAATAGCTGGTGAAAATCTCCAAGAGTAAAAGACGACCAGGTTAGAGCTAATTGAATTATTTTTACTAACAAGGAAACAGAATATTGTAAATATGTTGATTCTCACGAATATTAAGCACGTGCCAATTGTCAAATGCTGCTTTACCTACTTACAAAGTAAATTAAGGACTCGACGGGTGAGAGATCTCAGGCATGGAGAGTTTAAGTAACTTTGCAGAAGGCCATTCAGCTACAGAGTAGTGGAGCCTGGTTGGGAACCTACGAAGTCTGGCTTTGGAGCCTAGACTCTGAGTTATTACTGCTTCCCCGTTCTTCTGAATGAAAAGGAGCAGCACTGCTGTGGTTTCACGGAAATACCTCCTGGCAGCAGTAATTCGGAACAACACTTACCCTGTTGTACAGGGTACAAATACAGAGTGTGGAGAGTCCTGAGCAGGGCAGAATTGTAATTCGGGCTTTGTCACACAACTCTCAAGGTAACCTACTTTCTGAAAGGCCTTAGTTTCGTCGAGAGAAGATGGACTCAAGAACACCTATGCAACCTAACTTACAGAAGGTGTAAGTTAACTGAATGCACCTTCCCACTCGGCGGGTGTGATTTGTGCCTTAAGTAGTGGTTAACGTACAATAAAAGAGATGAGGTGAGGTGGGGAAACGCTCGAAAATCCACAGAGCACCGCCCAAACTTTACTGTTTTAGGGGGCGATTTAACACTCCAAAAGGCCCCTATATGGCTCGCCACCAGCCCAGTGTCCTAGTTTAGTTAGGGCATTTCTATGTAAACTCAACTCGAGCCTTCACATCCTCCTCCCGCGCAGTGAGAAGCCAAGTCCCGAAGGCCGAGGACAAATTTCCAGATAACCACAAACCCTGGCTACAAGGGCCACAGGGCCGTGGCCCAAAGACAAGGCATCTGACGCTTCTGCTCAAGGGTCAAATTACGGATAAAAACTCAGCTTCCGGTCCTTACTGTTTCGTCCCCGAAGGTTCTTACAGCAAATCGCTGCGCAATAGCGAGGCATCGCTCGGGTGCGGCCCAGGGGGCCCAGGCCGACGAGGGGCGCTGGAGGACCCTCCTTGCCAAGGTGGGGCTGCCAGCCCAGGCCGATCGAGGCCACCGCGCCTGCGCCGGAATAGGCCGAGAGGAAAGACGCTGCAATCGTCGACTCACTTCCGCTTCCTCAGGCTTCAGCACGGCCCTCTCAGGAGGTTGGGGCCGGAAGTGACGCGAGGGCTGAGCGGCAACAACAGTTTTCCACGTGCGCGTAGGGCGCCAGGGTCAGGTGGGGAGGCGGGAGCCAATAAGGAAGCGTTTCGTGTAGGTCTTCTGAGGTGGCGGCGCCAGCAGCGGCCGCCGGCCAGTGAGGACCGGGCTGAGAGGGGTCGCGGCGCCCGCGGCAGGAGGAGCGCTAGGTCGGTGTGCCACCGGCAGTGGGGCGCCCGCCGGCTACGGGAGGCCGCGGAGACCAGCGCGAAGAGCAGCTGTGTGGAGCCAGTCGTCAGTCTCCCGGCGCCTGTGCTCTGTTGAGGAGCAGCATTCGGAGGGTGAGGATGAGGGAAGAGGCCGGGAGGTCGCGGGAGGGGTGTTTAAAGCGTCGCCCGGGCCTCGGCGGGTCTTTGTAGAATGACCTGGTCTCGGTGGCCGCTACGGCCGTCGCAAGCGCTTCGGGCTGCCTGGTGTTCTTGAGGGATTGGGGAAAAGGAGATGACCGAACCATGGAATAGGGCGTTTTGTGTTTGGGGCTGGCCGCTGGCTTTTTCGGGTGTCGGACAGCTCCTCCCAGGGCTGGCCTCCGGGCCGCGGACAGCCGCGAGGGCGGCGCCTGGACGGATGGGACGCGTCTGGGTCGTCTCGGGGTGGAGGCTGGACAGTGCAGCCCAGTCGGCCACCGACTGGGGAGTAAGGCCCGGGCTGCTGTCCGGCGGGTCCCTCTCGGGAAGGAGAACTCAGTATAATACAAAAGTCGGCCTCCTAAAGAAGTGTCAGATGCTAAACTTGAACTGTGGAGTAACCGTCATTAAACCGGTAATGTCCCTCCCTGTCACTTTGAGACCCACCCTTAGACTAGGGAAGTACCTGCAGTCTCTGTGGCGTCCACAGTACTCGGTCTGTTTGCATTCTCTAAACGAGGGGGTCGTACTTGATCCTCGGTGCCCGTGACTATGAGTAACTCTCTGGAAAGGAGGAATCCATCTGCTAATTGCGCTCAGAAAAGGCCACAGGAGAGAAAGGCAGGCAGTTACCACGAACCGTAGTGTCTTTCGTCAGCCTCGTAATGTCATCATAGGTTATTCCGAACTCCTGTAGCACACAGTTCAAAAAACAGGATCACGTTCGTTTTGAATCCCAAGTCATTAAGTCTATAGTACCCAGAATTTTAAGTTGAATTCTAACGTAAAACTTCTTTAAGGTTAGAGAGAGATTTTAATAATCACTGAGAAGTTTGAAAATAACTAACTTATCCAAAGTACAGACTATGAAAATTCACTTTTCTGGCAGCCTTAGCAGAAATCTTAAATTCTATTAATTACAGGTTTTTAACAAATCCCATTTATCCAATTTTCTGTTAAGTATTTGGGAGGTTACAATTTTAAAAAATCATCACATGCTATTGTGTTGTCCACACTGCTATGATGAGATTCTCTGTTTGCAATCCTTGGCTCACCTTCCTGAAATGAAAGCTTAAGTTGGTGTATTCTCAGGGAGGGAAGATTACCAATTCAGACATACTGGGCTGTTTACCTTGGTAATGCTTTTTTCTTCTGAAGTTAAATACTTTTATTTTTAATCCTCTTAGAATATGAATTCTTGAAAGGAAAATTGACACCCTTTTAAAAATTATTTGGATTTTCCACCCTTTTTGCAATGCTTGCAAATGATGAATCTTCAGTATTAACTGGTAAAAATCAGTTATTGAGTATTTTTGTGTCTACTTGGTGTATGACCAGAGTATTAGTGGAAAGGTAAAGTGAAGGAAGTTTTTTTCCTCCCTCAATTTGGTTGAATTATATTTACTTTCAAGAAGATTACAACCAATGTAGGGGTAATAAAGCCTGTAAAAATGAAATAACATGGAAACAAGTACAAGATACTACATGCTTAACATTTTAATACTAAAGGTGTAGGCCTTTTATCCTAAAAGTTCACTGGGTTTCTTTTAAAAGAAAAAAATCTTAAGAATCGCTCCATGGATAAATCTTTTTTTCTTTTGCAGAGTATTAGAAATGGCTACTCCCCAGTCAGTTTTCATCTTTGCAATCTGCATTTTAATGATAACAGAATTAATTTTGGCCTCCAAAAGTTACTATGATATCTTAGGTGTGCCAAAATCTGCATCAGAGCGCCAAATCAAGAAAGCTTTTCACAAGTTGGCCATGAAGTACCATCCTGACAAAAATAAGAGTCCTGATGCTGAAGCAAAATTCAGAGAGATAGCAGAAGGTAAGTAAATGACCGTCTCTGAGGTCTCACAGATATTAACTAGTATAGGAGAATGATAGCTAAGAAATATATGTATTTGGATATACTGTGCAGGTCGGTGGCAGAGAGGGATCTACATTTAAATAAAGGGAGATTCTTGAGACTGTTTTCTTTTGACAAATACTTTGATTCCTGGATGGATGGATAAATGGTAGTGTATATTTCTGTTGGCATATAGATCTTAAAATATTGAAAATGTATTACTTTATTCTTTTATTGTTTATGAAATAGCTTATTGTTTACATGTTAAGAGGAATTTTAGGTACCCAAAACTTATAAGCTAACTTATGAAACATGGTTTTTTACTAAGTATGGAGATTAAACATAAAAGCATTAAGTATAAAAATTTTGAATAGATTTTGAAATGTGGAGTTTTTCTTCATCTGTATTTAAAAGCCATATTTGTCTTTAAAGAAAAAATATGAAACAAATAAGACTAGCCCTAAAACAAATTGCACCTCCTAAGCATACAATAATTAATGGTGGATGAAGGTAATTGAGTAGAGAGTTGGAGTTAAATATTTACTTCAACTAGTAAGGAAGTGAAAAATCTTAATTCTTCTTAATTGGTCATATCGAGTCATTAAATTATTTGATACAAGGCTAGTTTTACCCAAATTATATGAAAAATAACTAATTGTTACCTACATGCTTATTTGTAAGTAACGGTAGCATTCATTTAACAAATATTTATTGGATATTTATTGGGGGCAGGCATTATGCTAACAGCTGATACTGTGTAGTGAACCAGACAAAGGCCCTGCCTACTGTAACTTTCATTTTACCGTTTTCCCTATGTTTGTAATGGTTCCTATGTTTGGCTTTATTGGTGGTGTGAAATCGTTCCCTAAAATAGGGAATCGAATTCACTTATTTGAAGAGGTTGGGATATATGTAAATTTGATTACCTTTGGTTTCTAAAGTATTTTTATTTCCTTCAGCATATGAAACACTCTCAGATGCTAACAGGAGAAAAGAGTATGATACGCTTGGACACAGTGCTTTTACTAATGGAAAAGGACAAAGAGGTAACGGAAGTCCTTTTGAGCAATCATTTAACTTTAATTTTGACGACTTATTTAAAGACTTTGGGTTTTTTGGTCAAAACCAAAACACTCGGTCCAAGAAGCATTTTGAAAATCACTTCCAGACACGCCAGGATGGTTCCAGTAGACAAAGACATCATTTCCAGGAGTTTTCTTTTGGAGGTGGACTGTTTGATGACATGTTTGAAGATATGGAGAAAATGTTTTCTTTTAGTGGTTTTGACACCGACAATCGGCACACAGTACAGACTGAAAATAGATTCCACGGATCTAGCAAGCACTGCAGGACTGTCACTCAGCGAAGAGGAAATATGGTTACTACATACACTGACTGTTCAGGACAGTAGTTCACTGTTTTTCTGTTCTCACTAAATCCAACTAGTTGACTCTCCTTCAATATCTTTGATGCAAAAGCAATTTTCTGTGAACTATTTGGACAAGTGCATGATTTCAGTTAACTTGATATAGATATTAAATGTATTTAAATGTGTTTTTTTGACAAATTCAGTAACATTCAGTTAGCAGAAAAATAGATAATAATTAATTTTCCTGATTAGGAAACATTCTTGAAAAAAAACTATAGTTCTACCTGGTCTTTTTTTCCTCTACCTGCCCTTGGGCTTACTTGCGTGGCCAGTTTTATTACCAAGAAAAGATTGAGATCTCCTGATACATTTAAAAGTTAAACTTTAAAACTTAATGTAGATTTAAATTGTGTGGACTTGACTGGTTTTTGCAATGGGATCTTTGCTAATTTAAAATTGCATGCTCTGTAGCATCTCAGACTTGGGTTGCTAAATGTACATGAAACTGTAATTGAGTCATTCAGCAAAGGATAGTAGTATCTTTCCCCTGAAAGCTTCAGAAAGTTATGGTTTAATATGCACCACAGAAGCATACCTTTGTGTAGTAAAATTGGAGTAAGGGAAATAATCGTATTGCTTATAGCCATTTAGGCTGAAAGACAGTTGAAAAATTTTGAGATATTGCCAAGACATTGTTACACGTTTGGTCCCTGGCTAATGATTTTGTATTGTTGAAATCATAGCTAATTCATATCTTTTCACATTTCTTTCTTAGTCATTGGCGCTCTAGGTCTTCTGTGGATTTATGTATTTTTTTGTGTGTGGTTCCTCTTCTTTGCACTCATCTTTATCTAGAGATTGACTAATACCTCATTCTGTTTGTAAAAACAGCCAGTAATTTCTGTGCAACGTTATGTGCAATATTTTTAAATCCTAAGAAATGTGTGCTTTTGTTTTCATTTGACTTCTTTAGTTCTGCACTTTTTGCATTCTACTCCATATGAGTATTAATCCTATGGATACATTAAAACTAGTAAATGTCTCATACAGCGTTGTGTGTGAGTGAGAGAAATATAATATTTACAAGATGGTGTTCTAAGTTGTCATCTTATTGTTAAAAGTTTATTCTGTAGTTCCGGAGCTATGGGGGATAACATAAACAATGGGGCTGCTTATGCTGACCATAGACCATATTCCAGAAGTTATTTTTGACTAACCTGAAAACCCTGATATGGCCTTGTTTAGTTGCCATTTGGTAATTTCTCCTAGTTCTTATCATCCTCCTTCCCTCACA